TGGATCCATACAGAAAGGCGACCGGAAAAATCTAGATAGATACAGAGAAAAGCGAATAAATTTAACCTATAGAAGTACGAACAAAAGTATGGGAACATCTAGAAACGAGAAAGAAAAAGGGAGGCTTTGCGCTCTTTTATAAATGTACGTAGGTCACCATTGGAGGAAATTCAGATTAGATAGAAAACCAAATTTAATTTCGCGAAGCGATACACCAGCAAAATTCGAGCAAGGAAACAATTCAGATCTTGGGAAGTTTTCCTTTTGTAAACAGAAAAATTAGAGATTGGAACAGTTTACTACAGAGTTTTCAAAGCTTTCATCTAGTGTCGCGAAGTTTTAGAAACAAATTAGAAAATATATTAAATAAGTATGTGCTGGTGTGTGGCGGTGGAAGTGCTGGTGGAGTGCTGGTCAGTGTGCTAATCAAAGGTAATCAAAGCAAAAAAAATGTAGTGTAGTGAAGTGAAGTGAAGTGAAGTGTGGTGAACGTGATCAATGCTCTTTTCAATGCTGCTTTTTCGTCTGTATCGTATTGTACGGTTATTATTATTTATTATTATTATTATTATTATTATTATTTTATTATTATTATTATTTATTATTATTATTTTATTATTTTATTATTATTATTATTATTATTATTATTATTATTATTATTATTATTATTATGTATTATTATTATTATTTTATTATTATTAATTTTTTTTTTTAATTTTTTTTTATTTTTTTTTTTATTATTATTAATTAATTATTATTAATTATTATTATTATTATTATTTTATTATTATTATTATTATATTTTTTTTATTATTATTTTTATTATTATTATTATTTTTATTATTATTATTTTTTATTATTATTATTATTGTTATTATTGTTATTATTGTTTATTATTATTTTGTTATTGTTATTATTATCATTATTATTATTAATGTAGTGTTGTTAATTTTTTGCAATTATTTGCCATTATGCAGGAATACGCCAATTGAGTTCTAATAAATCTATCTATACTAAGTGTAGAAGTGGCAGGAGCTTACAATTCAAGTACAGGTGTTCCAAAGGAGGGGATTTCCGTATTTTGCCGTATGGATGTTATATCCGCCGAGTGAAAACTAGGAAAACGACCAACCGGTAGCTAGAATTTGTCCTTCAGACAGTGATGGAAGTAGACAAGCTTTAGAAGTAGGGTCAAAATTCCTGGATATGTGCTCGGAAATTGGAAGACAGAGTCATTGTATACGAAACAATAATGGCAATCTCTCCGCTACTCAGCCCGTCGTAAGGTAATCATGAAGAGTGAAAGATAATAGGAGGTTTAATGTTTTAGCGATGGGATGATTTGTTAGTGGGATGTATCGGTTGAACTAACCAATCACGTGAAGATTATACTAAAACACTCACGCAGTGGAACTTCTTTCTTCGGTCTTTCTTCTTGGACGCTACTCTAAACATTGGCGACGGACCAAGGACACCAATTTAAGCATATTAAATGGTATACAATAGACGAACATTAATGAATTAACGTTCATTTGTGGAACGTAGTAGTGCAAAATTTTTACAATGAAAATTCGTATTGCTCATGACCATAATACGCAATAACATCATCTACTGTGACCCCCATCATCATCACAACAACACTTCACTACGTTATAACTAGTTATTAGAGAATAACTGTCCGACGAATAGTGAGAGCGTAAGAAGTGGTTCGTCAAGCAGTGGTTCACCCATGTGGTTGCTTTTTGGGTGCGAGGCCGCACAGGCCGGATCGCGAACCGTTGAGAGCGGGGGGGAAGGGAATTCCGTTGTGAGGCATTCCCGCCGCGAAACGCTTGCGCGCTGCCCCTCACGCCCGTGTGGGTCGGTGGTCTCGGTGCACTCAGCCTGCGAGTGCGCTGGGGCGGCGGGGCGGGGACGATGGGGCCTGCAGCGACGCATTTAACCTCGGCCAGGCGCTCCCGACGCGGCGCTGCGCGTTCAAATTTTTATATTGCAGGATCAATAAGTTTATGCTAAGTTTGTGCACGAGAGTTACCACCGACATAAAATACTTGGGACAGTGATTCACAAGCTTAGGACAGGAAAATAGGAGAGTAAAATATCAAGTTCAAGGAAAACATAATTTCAAGGCTGCATATATTATCAGTGTGGGTGAAAAATATTGCGACAAGATCAAAAGTAAGAATATATAAATTAGTGGTTAGACGATGCCACATGCAGCAGAGCACGAGGTGAAACAAAAAGAAGTGGAAATGCAGATGTGTCGGAAATGCGTGTTGAGGAAACTTTAAGCAAAATTACTTGTGACAGAGAAAGAAATGAAAACATTAGAAAACATGTGTGATTTAGTCCATTTCAGAATGAATAATATCACAAAGGGGAGATAAGTATCAACAATTGATACTGTTAAGTATTAGCCAGCGTGCGCTAAATGGCATCTATTTGGGGACGCTGGTTGCGGATTAGTCTGCCAAGGAGAAGGGTTTTTCGTAAGGGAAGAACGCGAGACGGGAGACACAAGGCTTGGGTGTTTCGGCTTTATAGAAGCTTTTCACTGTTAATAACAAGCGAGGGGGTGGGTACGTAGGGAGGTCACGTGGGCTCGCTATATAACAGAGTGTCGGAACAGTAGGAGGTTTCTGGAGACGGTGGGAGAACCTCGTGCGTGTGCGCAAAACTTGGCGGCAAGACGGTGATATGCGAGCGCAGGTCGCAGGCTGGAGTCATTAGTCTTGACGAAGCTGCGGAACTTTATGTTCTTGGGTGTGCGGTCACTGGGGGAGCGGATGCTGTGGTGCGTGCTCGAGGTTGAAGAGTGGTTGAGGTGGCACGATTCACGCGCCGATTCTCATCGGATAAGATGGCTCTGCGATCGTAGGCAAACGCAGCGTTGGTGGCCAGAACGGACTTTGTGTCCCAGCGTGATTCCGGTCACGGAGCTAGGCTTTGGTGCGGGGCTCAAAAGTAGGAGTGGCGAATGCCCCATATCAAAACCATGCTTAATCGGGTTTTGGATGCTCCGCGCGATCAGGGGATAGTAGGTCTATCAGAGCTTAGGGTTTAAGTAGATTATAAGTGTATATATTTGTTTTGTTTTCTTGTTAATATAATA